AATAATAATAATAATAATAATAATAATAATAATAATAATAATAATAATAATAATAATAATAAAATTACTAATTTTTAACTTTTCGAAGAATTTTTTATTAGTGATTGTAAATGACTGATTTTTTCAATCTTTTCGACATTGATTCTGTAAAAGAAAGTTAAAAAGATTGACATGTAAAACTATCTTATTTAATTCGTTAAAAATTAAAATTGATCACTAGATTTTTTTTTAACGAAAGGAAAACAAAAAATGAAAATTAAATGACGGATGAACCAAGAATCTAAAATAACAAAATGATATATGTTTCGTTTTGTTAGGTTTATATTTTGTATTGGCGATTCCGTGAACAAATTGACCAACTTGAACAATTATATAAGTTTAGGGACTAAATTGTAAAGTTTCATAGTTGGTAGGTTAGTTTGGGGTTTGGGGTTTCATGTTTGGAATAAGAAGGATTCACGCCGATTTTTCGCTTGCTGCTCGCCGGAGTGATGCTTTAGCGATTGAAACAGAGATTATATCGTTCGACCTTCGCCCCACTGTCGCTCGAGCGAGACCCTCACTCGAGCGAAGCAGCCTTCTCGCTCGAGCAACGTATTATTCTGCCAAACCTAATTTTCTATTTCCGAAACTTTTACTTGGCCCATACAAACTATTTCGTCGAACATATATATTGAGGAGCCGCACTTCCTACGAACAAGAGATTGAACATCATATTATTCAGAGAGAATACATGCTTTACAAGAATCAAAGTTCAATCCTTCCATTGTTAATGTGCTAATCATTGAAAACATCAAAGAGTCAAATCAAACACTGGATTGCATTATTCGCTTGGGTCTGCTGCAAAATTGTGTCGTCAACTATGCTGCATTAAAGATCAAGGGAGAATCTGAAGAACGAGGAGTTCTTTGGGAAGATCTACAAGAGATAAATTGCGTAAAGAGTCAGGATTGGAGTTCGTGTGCTCATTCCAGGAGGACTGTTTTACAAAGAATAGCCGGATTTGGTGTTCATGTGCACATTCCAGGAGGGTTGCTTCTTACTTCAGACAGGAGATCAGAAAGCTTGTGTTGTCAACTTTGCTGGTGGTCTGTAAGTGTATTATCAGTTTATAGTGGATCTTTGACTGGCAAAGTGCCCGTAGTTTTCCCACGTTGGGTTTCTCCATGAACAATTTTGGTGTTGTTTACTACTTTATTTGTTGTTGTGATATAACTGTGGTATTCAAATATAGGCTAAATTGGATTGTTTCACTAATCATCTAGACATAATTAACTTGTGACCTATTATTTGTTAATTAAAGTTTTAATGCCGCATTTACACCTAATCACCCCTCTTTAGGTGTAGTATGGTCAAATCTTGCGTTTTTCAATTGGTATCAGAGCCTTATTTCGATTCCTGACCCTATTTCTCTAGATGGTTTGTTTATTATCTGTTCCGCCTCATTTTGATGGCAGTAATTATGCCTATTGCTAATTGGACAAGGACTAACTTGGATGAGTATAGTTGGAATAGTAAAGGTTTACATGTTTTGTTTATGGTTGTGTCTCCTAATAAATTTAGGAGAGTGTCTAGTGATGTAGCTCAGCCCAGAAAACAGAAGTCCATTGCTTTGAACACCCGTATGGAAGAAAATTCTAAGTCTAGTGATATAGAGTCCCTTAAAGGTGAGGAGATAGCCTACTTCGTGAAGAAGTTTAAGAAGGCCTTGAGGAATAGACCAAAACCACAACCTAGGCAGAGGAGTCCCCCTAGGAAATTTCAGAAGGAAAAGCGTGATAAGGGTGGTGGTAAAGGGTCTAGTAGTGAGCTTCAGTCGGTTAGATGTCATGAGTGCCATGGATTTGGGCACTATAGGAATGAATGTCCTAATCTCAAGAGGAGCTCGACTAAGGATAGAGGTAAAGCCTTAGTTGCTGCACTGTCTGATGACGACTCTAGTGAGAGTGACCCAAGTGTGCAGTCTGAGTGTGAGAAAGTAAGGAAGTACATGGCCTTTGTGTCTCGAATAGAAAGTGAATCTGATAAGGCTAGTGAAAAGACTGAGGTTGAGATCGGTAATGAGGCCTCGGATGATGAGGATAATCTTCAGGTTGTGTACCAGGAGTTATTTGAGGAGAACCTTAATATTAAGAAACTCAACCATGCCCTACTTAAGAAGTTTGAATCATTGGAGCGAGAGAAAGAGAGACTAGTTGGTGAGCTTAAGGACTCGACCAGTTCCCTGAGTGAGTTGAGATGTATCAATGAGAGGTTAGAATGGAACGTTAAGACCCTCACGAGGGACCTAGAAAAATCAAATTCTCAACTTGAGGCTTTCTCAAGTGGGACTAAAAAGTTTGATATTCTTTTAGGTATGAACAAGCCTGCATGTGATAGATGAGGTCTAGGTTATGTTAAGAACAATTCCAATTATGCTAGTACCTCTAAGACTTCTTTCGTTCCCGCTTCTACTCAGCCACACATTGCTAGAAATCCTGATCCTAGAGCTGAGGGTGCCATAGGACAGAGGACACCTAGGTCTCGTAAGAACATTGCACCTCAAATTCGTTTTCAACAATCGTATGTATCTGAGCCTAGATTTGTACACACTTGCCATCGTCGTGGTGCTTTGGGTCACATTAGGCCGAGGTGTCGTATCGTGTGCACAGGGAGAGAAATCAGGATACTCCTAGTCATGTCAATTCTCTTTCCAGTCAAGTTCTTCAGCTGACTGAGATGATTTCTCAATTGATTAGGGCTACCTGCACTGCTAGGAAGGCATAGGTCAAGAAAGTTGATCTTGACCGTATGGCAGTCATTGGTGCGTATGCACCACACTAATCCCATGTGCGGGCATCTGTATGCATTGTCAATTACACTAGTGCATTTTGCATCCATCTTACACTTTGCATGCGTTTAATTGTTTTTATGTTTTGTTTGAATTCTTATGTTTTGTGTGCTTGGTACATTCATTTTTTTTTTACGAAAAAAATTTCTTTTTCTTTTATTTCTTTGGTTTAAATCTTTGCTTTGGGAAAAAGAAGAACAAAAAGTGAGAACAAAAAGAGTATTTGGAAATTGGTTTTACAGCATGATACACAATACACTTGAT